TCTACCCCCTTCCCACAGGATCAAACCCAGCACTGAGCCCCAGGAAATGTGGGGGTGCCAGCCCTGACAGTGCTTCATCCACACCCGGTGCTTCCCCACTCCAAACATATCCCGAGCCACTGACGAGCTCCAGGGGTGCTGCTCCCTGAACTCCAGGGGTGCCCTGGGATGCAGAACTGCCAAGAGCCACTGACAACACCATTAAATACATTCATAGGAAACCATCTGTCCTCAGGAGCATCAGCCACCCCCTAAATTCCTGCCCAACAGCAGCTCCCAGCTGAGCAGAACCGGAACAGGGAAAATCACACTTCCCACTTTGAAACAGAGAGCTGGTGCTGGGGACAAGGGCTTTGTTTCTCCAAGGGGAATCAGAATCTGGAAATGTCCCCTGATGGGGAGAGAATCAGTTCGTTTCACTTCAGAATCATCATCATTGTTTTTGCAAATGGATCTGACAGTGACGCTGAGCTGGGCAGTCCTTGAGCTGAAGCTCATGGCTTGGCTACAGTGCCCAGGGCTTGTGGGCACCCAGGTACCCCCAGGGTCAGGAGGACAGTCCCTTAGGCAGTGTCCAGAGCTGGGCATGTGGGGATGAAGGGAGACAGGGATGGAAAGATGTGGGATGGAGAGATGAGGGATGGAGGGATGTGGGGATGAAGGGTTGCAGGGATGGAGGGATGTGGGGATGAAGGGTTGCAGGGATGGAAGGATATGGGGATGAAAGAATATGGGGATGGAAGAATGGAAGGTTTGGGGGCGGAGGGATGGAGGAATGAAGGGAGGTGGAGATGAAGGGATGTGGGGATGGAGGAATGGAAGGATGTGGGGATAAAGGGTTGCAGGGATGAAGGGATATGGGGATGAAAGAACAAGGGGATGGAGGACTGGAGGGATTTGGAGGTGGAGGGAATCAGGTGCAGGGATGTGGGGATGGAGGAATGGAAGGATTTGGGAGTGGAGGAATGAATGGATGTGGGGGTGCAGGAAGCCCTGCACTGGGGTGATAAGAGCACAGTGCAGTTGTGCGTGAGGCTTATCTGCATTTCAGCAGTTTTGTGGGGTTTGTTTTGGGGTTTTTTTCCCCCAGACTTTCTGAGATGTTTTGAAGTGACCAGAAGTTTCCTCTCTGGAAGCCCCTCACCCCTATTGTGCTCACAGCCATTCACTGCAGATCACCATGAGAAACCTCTTTTCAGGAGGGAGCTGGACGCTGGGGCCGATCAATCAGTCAATCAATCATGCAGTCAATCCATCACCTCGCTTACAGCCCCAGACAGGCGAGAGAATACCCATGCAGGGCTGAATTCATTCCTCATTTGGATGGGTACAAAGCTGGAGACCCCCAGACTGAGCCCAGATTTACACCAGGGTGACTGAAATGACAGTTTCTGCCCCCGATTGTGCCGAAGGCAGCTGGGCAGACCTTTATTCCCAGGCTGCGGGATGCGCCCGGCCCTCCACAGACAGAGCTGCCACTCGCTGTTAGAGCTTCCTCGGAGCAAAGTGCTGTGGCTTTTCTCTCCACAAGGTCCCTCTGGCCATGCCCCATCCCATCCTCACCCAGATGAGCAGGCAGGGCTGTGCCCTGGCAGCTCCCCCCCAGCCCTTTGGGAGCCCTTTGGGAAGGAAGGGAGCGGTGCCGGGCCCTGTGCTCGGATCCGGTGCTGCTGATCCCCTCCAGACCCTGTGAGTGCTGACACGAGTGCCAACACACCTTCACACACTCCTGTTCACTGCACACCAGTGCTGGGTGATGGCTGAGGCAGGTCACTGCTCCCAACCCAAAGGAAAGCTCAGCCTGGCTGTGCTCCTGTCCCTGCTCCGTCATTTTCCGAGCGAGCCTCGCACCCCTCGCAGATGTTGTGGAGGCAGCTGGCAGCTCACATGGTGTTGACTCCTTGTTTCCAGCTGCTGCAGCTCGTTAAAAGGAGCTGTAGTACATTTAATCCTTTCCTACTGTCACTCTTGCCTTGAAGCTGTTGCTGCAGTGATGATCACGGTGTTTACGGGGCTGTGAGCAGGGGGACAGTGATCTGCTCATGTGCCTGGAGTGGAGCTGTGGAGCCAAAAAGGCACGTTCCCATGGGGATGCAAGGGCACAAGCTAGCTAGGGGACTGGGAATAAGGAGATTTCTCCCAGCTGCCCGAGCCATGAAATTCAAGCACAGCTCCTGTACACGTGATGGGAGCAAGGGATTTATTTAACTCATCCTCTACCTGTGCCTGCTGAGGTTTTGCTGGGGTGATGCAGATGCTGGTGGCAGCAGACCCCAGGGACCCCTTTTTCCTCCATGCCTATCATGGAGACAGGCTGTGAGCCTCTGACCACCCTCTGAAATCTGCATTTGGCCCTTCTGCTGAGGGATGCAGGAGCCCATTCCTGCTGCTCACCCTGTGATTGTCCCGGGAGTGATGGTGCGTACCTGGGAGCAGGGGACTCTCAGAGGGTGGCCTTGCATCACCTCAATTCATCTGGGCATGGGCAGGCAAAGATTAAAGCTTTTGACATTCAGACAAAAGAAAACCAACCCTTTTTTAGGGCTTGAATACTCTGGCTACCTGCAAATGCTGCTGAAACAGGAGTTCCAGGTCATCAGGGAGACCAATTTTCCCCATTCCTGGTTCTTGGGGGAGGATTCTGGCTAAATTTGGATATCAAGGCATGTACCCACCCCTGCAGTCTGAGAATGCTGCAACTTGCAGCCAAGCTGTGCACATTGGGGGAGCCCCAGGGATCACCAAGACTGGGGCTTTCCCCCTTTCCTGCACTTGCTTCCAGCCTCTTCCTCACCAGCCAGGAACAAAAAGGCCCAAATGACATTTGGAAAGTCCAGATCTGGTTTTGAAGCTGCAGAGGCTGATTTCCAGGGGAAAACACGTGAAGTTGCATCAATCCAATCACCTGGTTTTATTTAAGCCCACTAGCCAAAATCATCCACCTCAGATAATCATTCCCAAGCCAATCTGGATTTGATTCAGATAAGACAATGACTGAGTGGCAGGTTTGTAAACCTTTACCCCCCACTGTTATTTTTGTTTGCCCTTTCACTGGGGCCCTTCTGCCTCTCTGAATGGGACCAGAGAAGGAAGGGGTGGGAGCACGAACTCTTCTTGCCTCAAAAAGTCTGCAAAAGTGAGGAGCACCCCCTCCTCATACTCCAATCTCCCAGAATGGGAGAGCATGAATGCATTTCATCTAAACAATTCAGTTTTGGACTGTTCTCCCAAATTGATTGGGACCTCTGAGAGCTAAGCAGAGCCAGGCAGGACCCCCCACACCAAAGCTGATGTTGTCCCACCCCTTGTACCAAGGCCAGGTTTGGCCCACGCTCTTCTGCAATGTGCCCCTCGTTGGCTCCCAGTGGAGTGATGCTCTCTCAGCTCTTGGCCAGGGTGGTGCTTTCTGTCCCCTGTAGCTTCGAGCAAAGGAAATAAAGCAGCATCTCTCCCAGAACTGGCTGCATCCAAAATCTCTCACTGATTACCTTCTCCATCTCTGTAACCCTTTTGCTCCCACAGCACAGGAGCTCTGGCTTGCAGACACACTGATTTAAGGATGTGTTAAAAACCCCCATGAAGTTCAGCAGAATTCTACAGGATTTGGGGGGGGCTAAGGGTTGCCAAGGCACAGCACTGTCAGATGCTCCCCCTCAAGGGGAAGGCATGAAATACGGAGGGTTCAAGCTCCTTGGACAAAACAGTGCTTAAAAAGTCCAGGTTAAGTGTGATGGGTCCTGTTCCTGATAACCCAACACCTTGTTTTGTATGGACTCCCCAAACCACACACCTCATGTTGGCATCCAATGTCTAAGGCAAAGCACCCAAAGGGCTGCTCAGCAGGGCTGGGCTGGAGGGAGCTGCCTGGGGCAGCCCTTGGTGTGTCTTCAGGCTCCTTCCAGCCCTGCAGCTCGGAGGGAACATTTCCAGAAGCACACAGGAAACAACAGGCACAACCCAAGGCTGGGAGATCATTCTTGCCTGGACCAGCCTGATACTGAAACACAGAGTTGCTGCTTCTGCATTTACATGTAGCAGGACTTGTCCTTTCAATCAGTCCTACAGAACACCCTGGGATTTACCTTGCCATGACACTGGAGACCTAAGACCTTGTCCCTTTGCTCCCTGGGTTCCCCACCCTGGGAGAGCTCCTGAGCACACAGCAACACACACAGCCTGTGTGACAACCCTTGCCACGGGACGAGCCTTGGCTCAGAGTTCAATTCGAGGTGACGTCCATCACTTTTAGTACAAACTCCTAAATTTATGAACCCTCCTACACTGCTGAGGCAAAAGTAAACAGCCTTTACACCTCGTGTCCTTCACAGCTGTGGCACTGCTCAAATACCCCAGGAACCTGCAGGCAGTGGGACAAGTCACCCTTTCCTGGGACTCTCTGGCTCCTGCCATCATCCCCTGCTCAGACCTGGACACAAGACACATTGTTATAACACACACAGGTCACATCAGCACTCGAGATTGCTTGGCACAAGGAATGCACAGATCTAGGAATGTAACAGAAATGCTCCTATACAGCAGTAAGCAATGATTAGGGGTTTTTTCCCTTTTTGGAGGATTTTTGGTTCTCCAGTCCTTCTCCACCAAAAAATCTCCTTGGAACTGTTCTCATCCTTCTGAGAAGGTAACCACGAAACTTTAATCAACTAGTGGTGGTTTCAAATCCTTACCTCTTTTCCATCAAGTGTTGGTTCCACATTGAGTGGAACCACACATTGAGTTCCACCCTGTGTGCTTATGGATTTAGAACCTCTGGAAAAACCTCTCTCCACCTTCTCTACGCTCCCACATGCTCTGAGGAACACCCGTCTCTCAGGATGCTGCACAGCTGTTCCGAACACTCAGACACTTGGGCGTAAAAGGAAACCACTTGTCCGGGTACAAACACCAGAATTGATGTATTTAATGCAATTTCATTCAAGGGAGGGGGTTGCTCAGAAGGCTTTTAGCATCACAATGCTTCAAAAGAAGAGAGAACATACCTGCGGGCTCCTCTGTGCTGCTGGCGGCCGTGGTGGGGGGCGCGGCGGGGATCTCTGCGGGACAGCGAGGAGACAGGAGCAGAGGGGAGATAAAAGAAGGAGGAATTATTCCAAATCCCAGAGAGCCTGGCCCCTGCACACACTGCGTGTTCCCTCCCCAGCCGTGTCTACCAGCACGGAGGGTTTCCCAACGATGTCCTCCAGCAAGGAGCATTGCAAGAGCCCCAGAAACCAGTGCACCAGGACCATACCTACTGGGGAGCCAGGCCTCCCTGGAGGGTGTGGGAAAGGGGTTTTTTAATAAAACATTTTGGCTTGTGGCTGTGGGCTGCACTGTGCCCAGCCCCTGCAGGCAGTGGGAATGCTGCTGCCTCTCCCTGTCCCAGGGTTGTCCCTTCCAGCTGCTGTCTCCACCCACGTCTGAGGCAGTGTGAGCACTCCTCTCCTGTGAGAGAGGGTGCAGGTAAAGCATTGCACCTCTCTGCAGGGATGCAAGTGTTACCTCACACATTTAAGGGAAACACAAACATATCTGGTGCCTGGTTTTGATTTGGGACCAGCTTTGCAGAGCAAAAACCGCATAATATTCGGGATATTCATGCCCACGCCTGGCTGTGTTTGTTGAAATTCAAAGGATGGGCTGTGGATGGAGGGATGGCCCCAGCTTTGCAGGATGCTCTCCTTTCCCAGAGCACATACATAGCTCTCATCACAGACATCCTTCACACATTCAGGGCATGGTGATGCAATTTCTGTGCATTCCTGGTAATCCTGGTGGGGGAACTCCCTGCCAGCCCAGTTTGAAAGTGGAATTTAGGCATGAGCTGGGGGTCAGCATTTGTCTCCTTCCGCTTGTGCTCTTGGGAACACACCTGGCCACGAAGGCAGGGTTTGCTGGAGTCAGTCTGCATTGTGGTGACAGCAGCTCACAGGGGCGCAGTCCAATGAGCATTAGGGGATTTTTTCAAGTCATTCACTCTCATGCAATTAAACACAGGCATAGCCCATGTGAAAGACATGGTGCACAGTCAGGCAGCACATGGACAGCCAGCACAGCCATCCCAAAAGGCTGGGTGGGTACTCCTGCCTGCAGTGCAGACAGACCCTACTGGGGTATTTGTTCATTCCCCATGAGGTGTTTCTTGCATGACTGTAAGTCTCTGGGACAAGGAAAATATAAGCAGTGGTAAATCAGAGAGTAACTGTGCCCTTGCAGGAGAGGTGGCAGTGAGCCTGTGGCAGTGGGAGAGCAGTGTGGGCAGGGATGGAGCCCCCCACTACACACAGATCAAATACGTGTGAACTCCATCCCCTCCCACGAGTAGGATATGCTGACTGACATTTTTCAAGGATGAAAATGTGCTGGTTTGGGTTTTTCTGGGATGAGGGAATTGTGAGTTGCTCATATCCTCACTTGAATTGCTTCAGTGTCCTATGTGCAGATCCAGCTCCCAACAACTGCACATGGGCTTGACAGCCAGGCCAGAGCCCGGCTTGGAAAGCATTTTTAGCAGAAGCTTTGGCCCCTGGGCAAGGATGTTTTGCAGTGACACAGAAGTAAGTGGCTCCCATGGGTGCTGGGTGGTGCTCAGGTGGCGGGGCCAGGCAGGGCAGCCCTGCCAGGCTCACACCAGTCTTGAGCATGCCGGGTCGGGAGCTGCGTGATCACAGCCCGGCTCCAAACCCCTGGATGGGTCATGTTGAAATCCTGTGTCTGTCTTTATTTAGTGCAACAAATCCCAAGGGAGCTGATGCAAGGAACAATTTACTCTCTGATTTGCCATGGCCCTGGGGAATGACTAATGATAAACCTTTGTGCATACTTGCTGCAGCACAGACTGGAGCCACGACTGGAGATCTTGGGGAAACAAGCATCTAGTTTGAGCTCTTGCTGTCTCATTGCAACATAGGGAAAAATGAATCTCAAGTGACTAAAGCCCACCCCAGAATGTATGTTTTCTTCAGCAGGAGAAGGTGGAGAAAGGGTATCTGCCCCATAATTTGGCAATGGCCATGCTGAGAGGGAGATGCTGCGAGGGGACAGAGCAGGAGCAGACTGTGGGTTCCCAGCAAAGACTTGATTTTTTCAACCTTGACTTTTCTTGTTGGGCCTTTTTCCCCTTTTAGCAGCAGGGAATCACCCTTGAGGGAAGCAGTTTCTCCTTTCCAGCCCATCCCAGGCACGCTAATTTTGATGCTTCCTTTCGTTAGGGTGGGGGGAGATGTCTCACAAGGTCCATGAGCCACTGAATGACCCAACAGCAGCAAACCCAGCAGGCAGCAGAGAGGAGCACCAGGCTAAAGCCCACCTTGCCTGGGCAGTGAGAGCTCAGCAGGGGCTGAGTGGGGATCTGGGTGTTTGCAGAGCAAATGCTGCAGCGGAGACACTTTGGGAGCTGTACCTGTACCAGGGTGCTCCCTGCTGTTGTTTGAAGAGCAGGGGAGGAGAGCAGCCTTGGGAAGGCAAATTGAAAAGCAAGCCCAAGGAAGCAAACAATAAAACAGCCTCTGTTTCTGGGAGAGTTGTGTGAGTGCAAGATCCCCTTTAGCAACCCAGGTGCTATAACTGTGTTACTGTGATGGCAACTCCACCAAACCAGCAGCTCCTCTGATTTGAGGTCTGTGTCAGTGCAGCACAACCTGATTTTGGAGAGAAAATCCTGTTTGTAGTGATCTGCTGCAGCATCCAGACCTGATGTGGTACCCAAAAATAAATGTGCTCTTGAGGCACCTTTGCTCCATGAAGCAAAATCAAATTACCATCAAACTGGTCTGTAACTGCACTCACACAGCCCACCCAATGAGGCAGATGAGCTGTTTGGAAGCCAGTGCTGGATTTTGGGCTATGATCCCTCCTGTGGGCAGTGCAGATGGCAGGGGAGCCCAGGCAGCTCCATCCCCTGAGCACTGCCTGCTGGCACGGTCGTGACAGGGTTAAGCAGCCTCCCAACACGGGCAGTGGCTCCTGCGGGTTTTAAAGGGTTAATATCTCTAATCTACAGACATTGAAAGAGTGATCCACCTACTTATGCAGGGGGCGATGGGAGAGCGGCTTTGCTGGTAGCCTTTGGCGCATCGGTTGCAGGTGATGCCGGTGACACCGTCCTTGCAGGGACACTGGCCCGTGGTTTGGTTACAGGTTTGGCCGGCGGCACCCACGGGATGGCAATCGCACTCTGTGGGGAAGAACACACAACAAGAGGGTCGGGGAGAGCAGAACGGGGGCAGGCGACGTTGTGGCATCGTCGGGAGCAATCCCGGCGTGGCTCCACCTTTGCTGCCGCCGGCAAACATCCCACCCAGCCAGCGACCGCACTGACCTGGAACGGAGGTGGCATGTGGCAGAGGGGGTGTGGAGGCCCTTACTTGGGCACAGAGGGGATGGCACCGGGGAGAGGGTGGCCCTGCCACAGCCCATCCCACTGCAGGGATGGAAACGCAGCCAGGATGTCCCAGGTGCTGCACAGCCCTGGGGAGGCAGCATGGGGACACCCACCCGTGGACACAGAATCACAGAGTACATCGAGTTGGAAGGGGCCCACAGGGATCATCGAGGCCAACTGTTAGCCCTGCACAGGCCCATCCCCAAGAGTCACACCGTGTGCCTGAGAGGAAACACAACTGCCTTATCCATGAGTGCTGTGATCAAGAGTTTGCAGCACTGGAAGAGGAGGGGAGCAGGCAAAGCAGCACCCACTGCCCACACCCAGCAGCTTCAAACACCCTCAGGCTCCCAGGAGCAGTGGCAGGACTGTAAGGAAGAGGGACAAAACCCAGGAGTGTTTCATTGCCCCTTCAGCACACGAGATCTCAGGCAGGGAGCAAGTGCTTTCAGAGACGTTGGGAATTCGTTGGGAATTCGTTTCACGTGCGCTACAAGAAAAACCAAAGCAGCCACCCTCCTCCTTTCAGTGCTTTTGCTCGAGCCCTTCCCTGCTGAGCAGCATCCCTGGCAGCTGGCACTGAGGGAGCAGGAAGGAAATGCCCTTGTGGGATGCAGGCAGGCTGGAGGACCTGCTGTTCCCGGCCAGATGGATGGAGGCTTGACTGCAGAGCTGGGCAGATGTGAAGGGTTTGGCAGGGGATGTAAATACTGCACTTGAAAACATTCACCATCTCATTTCCCACAGTGGGACTTACCGGCGCAGCTGTTTGGTTAAAAAAAAAAAAAAAAAAAAAACCCAAAAAAAAAAAAAAAAAAGCCAAAAAAAAGGCATCAGGGCTTGTTATCATCGCTGCTCCAAAAGGATTACGGCCTCGCACATTTGTTAACAGCCCTGATTTCTAAGAGCTGCAAGCACCGTGCCAGACTGTGGTCTGCCCCTGCTGAGCGGTGGCAGGGAGAGGCAGGAAAGCAGGAAAGCTTTCCTTTTCTTCTGCAGCATCCTCGGGAAGGAGCCAGCCAAATCCCTCCCAGGGGAGCACTGATCCCGCTCTCCTTCTGCCCCTCAGGGGAGCTGCCTGCTACAAAGGGGGTTTGGGGGAAAATGTGTCCCACTGCCCAAAATCTGGAGGGGGCTGGTCTGTGGGTCAGGACCAGTAAGAGTGTCTCCATGGGCTCCAGTGGCTTAAAACCCCCCCAAATCCCCCAAACTGGGCATACCACTCCCATGAGGGTTTGTTCTGGACCCTGCAATGATTCTTCGTTTGTCTTGCAACCCCCCCAGCTCTGAGACACCCTAAATCCACCTCGTTTGGGGACAACAAATCACACCCCACATTCATTTCTGTTGGTGTCCAAGCTTTGATGTTTGGCTGGAGCTTCCCTCCAACCCACCCCAGCACGATTCTGCTTCAGCTTCCCTGTACCAGCAGCTCCAAGTTTGACCCCCCTCCCAGCAGGGTTTGGATAGTGCCTCTGGCCTCCTTGCACTGGGATTTCCCCTTCTCCCTGCGTGGGACATCCCATCCCTGTGCAGCCCTTCCCAGAGCACCAGCAAACTGCTGCCATCCCTGACTCCACCAGTCTTGGATGGGAAGAGATGGAGCCTTGCCAAAACCTGATGATTTTTCACATGCAAGGGGAAAAAAAACCTTCAAGAAACCAACACAATTTTTACTTCTTTTATCTTCTTTTCCTAACACTTCTGATTTGGTTTTTTTGGTTAAGAGTCCTGCTCTCTCCCCTGCTGTGAGCTGTCCCTGGGAAATAGCTGCTTGCAAACCTGCCCACAGCAGAAAATTTGCTTTTCTAAACTTAATTTTGACTGAAAAAGTTTCAACATGAAATGAGTGTGGCTGGTGATGAGCTCGGAGAGCAGAGGGATGTTTAGGTGGGAAAACCTGCCCATTGCAGCCCCAGGGGATGGCTTTGATAATGCTGGGGGAGAGGAAATAAAAACACATTAAGTGAAAGAGTGAAGAAGAGCCAGGGCAGAAAAGAGTTAAAGAAGAGCAGAGAGGCAGGAGTTAATACAAAAATAAGCAAATCAGGGAAGGGTTACACAAGAAGAGGCAAAGGGCAGGAGGATGGGGAGGAACACGCCTCATGTTTCAGGCGTCCCCTCTGGGGCTGCGCGCTGGTTTCAGGCATCGCCTGCAAACCCCCATCCTGTGAGTAATCCTCCCCCATGTGAACGGATTGCACCGATTTCAGTGGGACTGCTTGGACGAGAGAGGGAAAGGGAGGAAAAAAAAGCCTTGGTGATGAGTAAGATTTACAGAATCAGGCTCTTGGAGGCCGGGCTGCAGAGCCCAGAGCGCTCTTCTGGACACCACATAAATAAATAGCGATGCTGCTGCTTCCTTCCCTCATGAGGTAATGCCTCGGCACGGCTTGTCCGGAGCTGCTGGGTTATTTTTACAGCCGTATCTGTCTGAGGTTGTCTCCTCTCTCCCCAGTCCGGGCTCCTGTGAGGGCTCTGCAGCACAAGTGTCACCCGTGTCCCCACGGGCACGCGTGATGTGCCCAAGGTTGCAGAGTAGGCAAGTCATGGAGGAGCTGGGACTCACCAGCTCGTGGTCCAGGACCTCCCCAGGACAAAGCCCTGGCTGATCTCTGACAGCTCATGCTGACACACGGTGGGGTAAATCCCCTCTGGGTGGAGGGATGTGCTTTGTGTCACCAGTCCCCAGCTTTTGGTTGGAGCACAGGACCCTGCGCGTCCGGGACCGCTGCCCTGGGCAGAGCACTCCGGCTCCTCCAGAGCCTGATCCCATTCTGACTTGTCTATCTTCCAGAAAACTCTCTGAATCAGCAGCAACTCAGCCCTCGTGGCGCAGGGAGGCAGGAGGTGGTCTAGGCAGTGTCTGCAGATGTGTATTTGCCGTCCCTGTCCTAGAGAAGCTGAACCAGCGCCAGCAATTAGGAGCAATTAAAGGTAATTTGCAGTTCCCTGGCCAGTGCAAACACTTGCAGCCAGCAATTACAGGCTCTTCTCCTTCCCCAGCCGTGGAGTGGCTGGGCTGCTGGTGCTTGATGCTGATTTTTCTAGTACGGTTCAAATTCCTTTGGGCTGTAACCCCAAATTGAGGAAAGGCTGCAGTAGAGTCACAGCGGGGGTGTGATTGGTGCCAATGCCCCCTTTGGCATCCCCATGGCCTTCCTGATGGGCACCTTTGGACTCACAAAACGGCTTTTCAGGCCTCAGCTTCCCTGAGTGCAAGGATCTGTCCATCACCCACCACGATGCAGGGGGTCAGCAGTGCCCTGCACTGAGCAGAGCCCTTGGGGCCCCAGGGCTGAGGAAACCTCACTGATCAGGAATGGAGGGTGTCTAGGACATGACTGGGATAATAAGGGGGATAACAGGTGATTTTTCTACTGTATCCTCATGCCTTGCTTGAAAGGATCACCCCACAGAGGAGGGTGCAAGGAGATGAGAGAGCAGCAAAGAGGAATTATGTAGGTGCAAGAAAACGGGAGGTCTGCAGTCTGTTAGTCCACGGAGCATTGGGGGAAGGAAATAACCATCAGGATTTAGTTATTTCAGAAAATCTTAAAGAAAAATCCTTGATGTGGCAGAAATGATCAGGAATTTCCAGGGAAAAATGAAATTATTTCCTGCTTGAAAACATGGCTGTGGAGGAGGAAACAAGGAGCAGGAACCTATGGTGAGGTTTTAATGGGCACTGATGGTAGCAGTGGAGGTGCCTCTGCCCATAAAAGCTGATTTTTCTTATGAAATAATCATGGAGTGGAAAGCAGGGAGCTAAAAGCATTTCTAGGTGACTCCCTGCAACTTGGCTAGTCCAGATGTGTTGGTCTTCTGCGAGACAGACCCAAACTGGCCGAATGGATGAGGGGATAGCAGCCAAAATCCGGTGCACAGAAGGCTGCATAATTGGAAGGAGGGAACAGGATGGCTCATACACACTGAAGGGTCCCAATTAACTGCAACCACTCCAGGAAAAGATCTAGGAGTCAATGAAACATCTGGCTGATTGCAACGGAGCTCAGAAGAGCCACAAGATGGGAGGCTGTGTTATGAAAGGGGTAGAGAGTAACAGTGAATGTAATATCATGGCACTATAGAAATCAATAGCACGTCCTCAGCTGGGGAACTGGAGTGAAAGGCAGGGAGAGGCACCCATCTGAGGACGGAAAAGATTAGGAATGCCTTGCCAAGAGACGGTGGAGGGGTGCCAAGTAACGCAGAGCGCCGAGAAGGTCAGACAGGTGCTCCTCTTCACTGGTCCTTAAAGCACCGGGACAAAGGGACATTCAAGGCGTTTAAAAGGCAACCTTTTTCAATGATAAAAGGAAATGCTTCTTTGCACTGCACGTAATTAACTCGTAGAACTCATGCTACGAGACACCATGGCAAGGGCCCAACAGGATTAGATAGGGCTATGAATGAGAACATCTGTAGTTACATTAGCTGGGATTAATATATATACGGATATAAGCACTCCAAGCCAGCTACTAACTGCCTGCAGTTAGGAGGAGATTTCCCCTGGGGCCAAGCTCTTGCAGAACTGGCTGTCTTGGAGTTTTATATCTCTGTCTGGAGCTTCCAAGACAAGCCACTATTTATATGTACAAACCTGCTGAGGCAGAGCATCACCCGCCCGAGCACGGGCAGGGACACATTTCTGTGCCTCAGCTGAGGTTTGGGACTGAAAAAATACCTGCAAGCAAATCTTAGGGCCTTTCATGGAAGGATGCAAAACACCCTGGGAAAGTGGTTGAACTTGCCGGGGTGTCTCTGCCCCGCTGAAGGCTGACAAATAGCAT